ATTTTAAAACTTACAATATTACCAAATATTAAAAAAATAATAATGCTTAATATTGATGAGTGTATGAAAAGGGATTCTCAAATACCAAAGAAGAATAAAATAACACAATCTTTCTGAAGACCAATTTGGTAATACACATCAACAGCTTTAAAAATGTCCATTTCATTTGACCCAACAGTCTGACTTTTAGAAATGTATGCTGAGTAAATAATCAGACAAGGGTATAAATACTGATGTATGAGGATGTTCATATAGTGTTGTTTACATTGAAAAATCCTGGAGACAGCTTGAATTTCTCCAAATAGAAAACTGTTTTAGCGGCACCTGTGTGGCTTAGTTGGTTGAACATCTGACTCTTGGTTTCAGCTCATGTCATGATTTCAAGGTCGTGGGATCAAGCCCTGTGTTGGGCTCTGTGCTCAGTGTGGTGCCTGCTTTAAATTCTTTCTCCCTTCCTCTCCCTATCCTCAGCAGAGAGCCTGCTCCCCCCCCACCCCGCTCTCTCTGCCTACCTCTCTGCCTACTTGTAATCTCTCTCTCTCTGTCAAATAAATAAATAAAAATCTTTAAAATCTTAAAAAAAAAATAAGAAAAATAAAAAGAAAAACTGTTTGAGTACATTATTTTATTATTCCCCACCTCTCTTTTCAAAAGGATCCCCTCCCTACTGGATTTCCTCCAACAGGTTTTAACATGCCCTATTTGATCCCAGCTTTAAAAACAAAGTAAGGGACACCTGGGTGGCTCAGTGGGTTAAAGGCTCTGCCTTCCGCTCAGGTCATGATCTCAGGGTCCTGGGATCGAGCCCCGCATTGGGCTCTCTGCTCAGCAGAGAGCCTGCTTCCTCCTCTCTCTCTCTCTCTGCCTGCCTCTCTGCCTACTTGTGATCTCTGTCTGTCAAATAAATAAATAAAATCCTTTAAATAAATAAATAAAGAAAACCAAAAAACCCCGTCAGATTTAAGTAGTTCTCAAATACTAAAATATACTACAAAATTACAGTAACCAATAGTATTTTAAAAAGGTTAGTAATGGCATCAAATATACAGACAAATCAATGGAACAAAAATTAGAATACTCCCAGATCTATATGGAAACTTAGTATATGCTAAAGGTGACTTTCTCAAACCTAAGGGGGAAAGATGGATGTTTCAATAAATGTTGAAACGATTACTAAATAAATAAATAAATAAATGTTGAAACAATTAAGTACTCATTTGGGGGGAAAAACTGCATCACTACTCACTTCTCATTCCAGCTGCATAACATCTATAAGGGGAAAAAAATACCAGAAGATAGCATGAGGGACTTTTTTAAACTTTTTAATCTTGGAATAGAGATCTTTCTAAGCAAGAAACAAAATCTAGATATCAAAGATTAATAAACTTAGCTTTATAAAAACATAAAACTTCTCAATTAAAAAACACAAGAAGTCAAGAGATAGATGACTAGAAGCAATTCAAAGCAGAGGTGACAGAAAAATGCTAATTTCCTCAATATGTAAAAGCTATGTAAAAAAATCTTATAAATTAAGAATGAAGAAGCCAGCAACCCAACAGAAAAATGGACAGAAAGTATAGACAGACAGTTCGCAAGGAATGAAAATAGCCAATAAGAATGTGGAAAGATGGGGCGCCTGGGTGGCTCTGTGGGTTAAGCCTCTGCCTTCGGCTCAGGTCATGATCTCAGGGTCCTGGGATCAAGCCCCACATGGGGCTCTCTGCTCAGCAGGGAGCCTGCTTCCCCCCCGCCCCCGTCTCTCTGCCTGCTTCTCTGCCTACTTGTGATCTCTCTCTCTCTGTCAAATAAGTAAATAAAATCTTGAAAAAAAAAAAAAGAATGTGGAAAGATGATAAATTCTCTCAAGAAATGCAAATCATAAGACATAACTTTTTTACTACCAAAAAATAAGATGTTTTATAAAACCCAGTTTTGACCAGAAAATAGAAATGTAAATTAATACAACTTCTCTGAAGGGCAATCAGATGATACTTACCAAAAATTTTAATCATAATCCATTGACTCAGCAATTTCAATTCCAGGAATTTATCTTATAAATGTACAGGAACAAATTCACAAAAATGTATAAAGATGGTTGCTGCAGCATTTTTGAAATAGCAAAAACTCAGAGAACAACTTAAATGTCCAGCATTAAGAATACTCATACACACACAGTATATATTCACATAAACATAAAACTTCCTTTATATATATATATATATATTTACTTCTTTGTCAGAAAGAGAGAGAGCAAGTGAGCACATACACACACATCAGAGGGAATGGCAGGCAGAGGGAGAAGCAGGCTTCCTGCTAAGCAGGAAGCCCTTTTCGGGGCTCCATTCCAGAATCCTGGGATCATGACCTGAGCCGAAGGCAGATGTTTAACTGACTGAGCCACCCAGGTGCCCCTGCATAAAACTTCTTAAAAAATATACAAGAAATTGCTATCAGTGGGTATCACTGGGGAGTAAGACTGGGAAATAGAAAATTTTACTTTCATCATATACCTTTTTGTACAGTTTATTTTATTTTTTTTAAAAGATTTTATTTATTTATTTGACAGAGATCACAAGCAGGCAGAGAGGCAGGCAGAGAGAGAGAGGGGAAGGAAGCAGGCTCCTCGCTGAGCAGAGATCCCGACGTGGGGCTCGATCCCAGGACCCTGGGATCATGACCTGAGCCAAAGGCAGAGGCTTTAACCCACTGAGCCACCCAGGCGCCCCTGTACAGTTGATTTTTATCCTATGCATCCATATAAATGCATTTACAATTCTTACAATTGTTAATTTTAATAGTAATTTTTTTAAAAGTTCCTCAGAAAACATACAAGTTCAAAATGAACTTTGCCTCTAGTTGAGGGTAAGGGATGAGACCAAACCCATGGAATAAGAGCACCTGAACATAATCTCTCTTTATTTTATTTATTTATTTAAAGATTTTATTTATTTATTTGACAGAGAGAGACACAGTAAGAGAGGCAACACAAGCAAGGGGAATGGGAGAGGGAGAAGTAGGCTTCCCGCTGTACAGGGAGCCCAAGTTGGGGCTCAATCCCAGGACTCTCTGATCATGACCTGAGCTGAAGGCAGACACTTAACGACTGAGCCCACCCAGAAGCCCCATAATCTCTTTTTAAAACAAAACAAGGAAGAAATAAAAAATAAAACAAAACAAGGACACTTGGGTGGCTCAGTCAGTTAAGTGTCTGCCTTCAGCTCAGGTCATGATACGGGGTCCTGGGACTGAGGACTGAGTTCCACATACAGCTCCCTGCTCAGCAGGGAGTCTACTTCTCCCTCTCCCTCTGCCCCTCCCCCCATTTGTGCTTGCACGTGCTCTCTCTCCCTCAAATAAATAAAATCTTTTAAAAAAACAAAAAACAAAATGAACATCTGCCAAAATGTTAGTAATTGCCAAATCTGGGTTTATTTGACATACTATCTTTTTTCAGTCTTATGTGGTTTTTTTTTAATCTTTCCAAATAAAAAGTGTAATTAAGAGGAAAAAAATGTGAAAGAAAACCTTTCCTGGGGTGCCTGGGTGGCTCACTGGGTTAAGCCTCTGCTCAGGTCATGATCTCAGGATCCTGGGATCGAGCCCTACTTCGGGCTCTCTGCTCAGCAGGGAGCCTGCTTCCCCTTCTCTCTCTGCCTGCCTCTCTGCCTACTTGTGATCTCTCTCTGTCAAATAAATAAATAAAATCTAAAAAAAAAAAAAAGACTATAAGCTTCCAAAAGGCAAGGACTGTATCCTCTCAATTTTGTATCCTTAGCACCTAAAACATATCCTCGTATAATAAATGTCTATTGGGAGAATGAATAAATAAAAAGAAGCTCATATTTTGAGATACTGGGCTTTGCGGCTGGTAGAAATGGTGACCCTCTACATACTGCTGCCATTTTCTGAAAAAATTAACAGATGTAAAACCTCTTCTGTACTGCCTGGCATACACGACGCACTCAGTAAATGTTCGTTTCCTTCTTGTTTCCCATTCTTTTCCCTTTGATACTCTTCTTTTTCTTAAGATTTTATTTATTTATTTTAGAGAGAGAAAGAGAGCAAAAGTATGAGTAGGGAGGAGGCACAGAGGGAGAGAGAGAAGTAGACTCCCCACCGAGCAAGGAGCCCAATGTGGGGCTTGATCCCAGAACCCCAGGATCATGACCCGAGCCAAAGACAGACGCTAAACCAACTGAGCCACCCAGGCTTCCCTCTTCTAATACTCTTTAGGCAAATGACGAATGTCATTAAAACCAAACAACTAGGGGCGCCTGGGTGGCTCAGTGAGTTAAAGCCTCTGCCTTCAGCTCAGATCATGATCTCAGGGTCCTGGGATCGAGCCCCGAGTCGGGCTCTCTGCTCAGCAGGGAGCCTGCTTCCTCCTCTCTCTCTGCCTGCCTCTCTGCCTACTTGTGAGCTCTGTCTGTCAAATAAATAAAATCTTAAAAAAAAAACAAAACACCAAACAACTATTTTGAAATTTCTCACATAATGAACAAAGTGGAAAGGGCAGGTAACTGGGCTGAAACAGACTAAAATTCATGGAGTTAATCAGATTGAATGGAAATTCATTTTGGCCAAAATACTACATGAAAAGCCCTTGCCTAGTAGATGATGGGCATAAAAGAGAGGTCTGAAATAGCAGCAATTATAACTATAATAACTAACTTAATGTATTTACCTCGCTGAACCTTTAAATTCACTGTAGTTTGTACTATAATTATCCTCAACGTTTTAAGCGAGGAACGCAAGGTAATGGAGAGGTAGCCAAAGGTCACAGAGTAAGTATGTAGTAGAGCTGGGAACCAAACTTACTAAAGAGCTCTTGCTCTTAACTACTTTATATTCTTGCCCTTGTCCTATTCCATGTTGGGGGTGGAATGTGGTCCCAGCCACTCTTCTCAAAGATATGTTAGGAATCTTTCTAGACAAAATTATTACAGAGTGTTAGAGAGTCGCTTAAAGCAAGCAGATCGTATCAGGAAATAACCACATACCTGCAGAACTGATGGGATTTTCTCCTGAAGTTCTGACCCTAAAAAGAGGGGAAAGTATGTTGAATAAAATTAGAAACCCACATTTAATCTACACAGTTATCAAGACTTGTATGCTTCTCATTAAGGTGAAGTCAATGCTAGATACTCCCTTATGCTTTCCTTCCCTTCTTTCCATAAACATTACCAGGTGCCTATTATGTGCCAGACATCCTGAGGATGCAAAAATAAGGAAATTGTCTCTATATATGGTCTAGTTGGGAGAGAGATATGTAAACGAACTGATCCACAATCTAGTGCTGATCCAGAATAAAAACTTGTACAAGATTTGGTGGAACACAGAGTAAAGTGTGGTCATTTCCACCAGAGGGGTTAAACCTTTTGACCTGAGTTTTAAAAATGCAGAACTGGGGGGGGAGCCTGGGTGGCTCAGTGGGTTAAGCCTCTGCCTTCGGCCCAGGTCATGGTCTCAGGGTCCTGGGATCGAGCCCTGCATCGGGCTCTCTGCTCAGCAGAGAGCCTGCTTCCTCTTCTCTCTCTCTGCCTGCCTCTCTACCTACTTGTGATCTCTTTCTCTCTCTGTCAAACAAATAAATAAATCTTTAAAAAAAAATAAAAATGAAAAAATAAAAATGCAGAACTGTTCTTAATTATTTAGCCTTAAGGAAAAGCATTCCAGGCAGAGGTATGAAAGTGGTCTGTTCAGGGAACCGCAACCAGCTAGATGTGAATGAAACTTAAGCAGCAGGGAAAAGGGAGGTTGGTGAAAGAGGTAATCAGGGGCCAGGTTATGAAGAACCTCATACGCTGTGCTAAGGAATTTGCTGTTTACCTATATAGGCAGTGGGAAGCTCCTAGCAGATGTGAAGCATAGGCATGCTATGATCAAGTTTAGGTTTTAGGAAGTTAACCCTGGCAGCAGGTGGGCAATAAATGGGAGGAGTAAGAGAACCAGTGAGATGGTTCTTGCAGGAGCCTTGCAAGGAGGGTAGAGATGAAGGACCAGGAGCGAGAGCCAGAGTGAACAGAGAAGTCAAGGACTATGGAGGACAATAATACAGCTCTGTTTGGCTCACTAGGTTATCAGCATATTTTAGTTCTGCATCCTGCGAAGTTTTGAAACGAAATTGTGGCACAAGCTGGAGACAAGCAGATCTGTGATTAAATGCTGACTGTACCATTTCCAAACTGTGACCTTTGGCAAGTTCTTTTATATCTCTGTAACTCAGTTATCTCATCTTTAAAATGCAGATAATAATAGTATAATCTTGTGGGACTGAAAGTCTATCTTAAACTCTCTGAGCCAGTTTCCTCTTTTGTAAAATGACGTTATCTATATTTGTCCTGTAATATTTTTGTAAAAATTAGAGAGAACATGTAAAATGGTTCTATAGTAAGTAAGCACGGTGCTATAGTAAGTACTTACTGAAGAGGTGACTGATCAATGATGGGGGAAATAGATTACAATGGAAAGGAGTAATAGGAGAAAGGCTTCAATAAATGTAAAGGATTAAAGAAATCATGCAGACTCATGAGTGCCATGTGGTCCAGGGAGATATACAATTCATTGTTTTATATCACATGGCTGCCACACGTAAGATACTCAGTGATTACCTGCTGATTCAAGAAATAAACTACCAAATGCCTTTTATTACCATTGAGAGAAAAACAGTGGGGAGTAGCAAATTGTATATGCAAGGCACTGGAAAAAAAACTTGGGTTTGAATTCTAACTCCAACTCATACTAACTATGTCATCTCGAGCAATTAATTTGCTTCTCTGGACCTCATTTATGTATAAAATTAAGATAATATGACCCATTTCACCAGGTCACTATGAGGATCTATTCACTCATTAAATAAGTATTTATTAAATGCCTACTATGTGCCAGGCACCATTCTAGGCTCTAAGGATACAGCAGTAAACTAGACTAACATGTATGATATATGATGTATGATGCTTATATTCTAGGGGACAGGCAGGGAAGATAATTTAAGTAACTTTACATATACATCTTTCTAAAAAGTCTCAGGTGGTGATACCTGCAACAAAGAAAAATGAAGTAAGTGAAGGGAATAAAGATTGATGGGGTGGGGGGGGCACTGTTTTTACATAGGGTAGTCGGGGAAGACCTCTCCAAAGGGATAACATCTGGGCACAAACCTGAATGAAGTAAGGAGGGTCAAGCCATGTGGAAAGCTTTTTTAAAAATTTTGTTTAAAGGGCGCCTGGGTGACTCAGTGGGTTAAGCCTCTGCCTTTGGCTAAGGTCATGATCCCAGGGTCCTGGGATCTAGTCCCACAATGGGCTCTCTGCTCAACAGGGAGCCTGCTTCCCTTCCTCTCTCTCTGCCTGCCTCTCTGCCTGCTTGTGATCTCCGTCTGTCAAATAAATAAAATCTCTAAAAAAAAATTGTTTAAAGATTTATTTCTTTATTTTAGAGAGAGCATGCATGCAAGAGTGAGCACATGGGGGCAGGAGTAAAGGGAGAGGGACAAGCAGACTCCACACTAAGCATGGAACCCTGAGCGTGGAACCAGACATGGGGCTCAATCTCACGACCCTGAGATCATGACCTGAATCAAAATCAAGAGTCTGACATTCAACTGACTGAGGCACCCAGGCATTCCTAAATTTTTTTTAAGTAGGCTCTACTCCCCAACACAGGCCTTGAACTCATGGCCCCAAAATTAAGAGTTTCATGCTCCACTGACTGAGCCAGCCAAGCACCCCGAGCCATATGGATATCTAAGGGAAGAATGGACAAAGATCCTGGGGTAGGAGAGTGCTTAGATCCTTAAGAACTAGAAAGGGAGCCAGTATGCTAAAGCTGAGTAAGCAGTAGTATATAGATGAGGAGACAGATTATGTAAAGCCTTGTTGGATATGGTAAAGAGTGTAGATTTTATTTTTCTTTTTTTATTAGTTCCAGAGGTAGAATTTAGTGATCCATCAGTTGTATATAACACCTGGTGCTCATTACATCAAGTGCCCTCCTTAATGCCCATCACCCAGCTACCCCATTTCCCCCTTACCTCCAGCAACCCTCAGTTTGTTTCCTAGAGTTCAGGGTCTTTCATGGTTTGCCTCCCTCTCAATTTTCATCTCATTTTATTTTTCTTTCTGTAGATTTTATTTTGAGTAAGATGGGACACCATTAGAGAGTTCTGAGAGAGAAGTGACATAAACTATCTTGATTTTCAAAATAATCATTCCAGGAGTGCTTGGGTCGTTCAGTTGGTTAAATGTCTGCTTTTGGCTCAGGTTGTGACCCCAGGGTCCTGGGATTGAGACCATCATTGAGCTCCCCGCTCAGTGCGGAATCTGTTTCTCCCTCTCCCTCTGCCCCTCCCTTGCTCGTGCTCCCTCTCTTCCAAATGAATAAATAAAATCTTTAAAAATAAGTTTTTAAAAATAAAAATAATCACTCTGATTTTAGTGTGAAGGACAGAAGAGAAAAGGAAAGCAGTGGCATCAGTTAGGAGGCAGAATGATGATAGTAAATATTAGAAGGAGCTGGTCCCTAGTAGTTGAGCAAAACAGAAAGCATGAGACCTGAAACTGGAGCTGAGGAAAGGTTTGATTCTGTATGTATTTCAAAAGTAGAACTGAGAGGATTTATTAAAGAATTGGATGTAGAGTAAGAGAATTAAGTGTTAAGGATGACTCCAAGGACTTTGGCCTGGGCAACTAGATGAATCAAGTTGTCATTTACTGAGAATGGGGAAGAGAGAGATGACGGGGGAGTTAATGTTTGAGATGCTTAGTAGACATGCAGGTAGAGATGATGAAGGAAAAATGCTGGGTGAACTACCCAACAGAATGCAAATATTAGCTATATTTAACCATTGTTATTAATATCCTTACCTTAAGAGAGAAAAGGCTTGCTTAAAAATGATATCGTTCCTCAGACACAGCATCTAGAGCAAAATAGCCATGTTAGGACCATTTTAATTATTCATAGCCTTCCAAGCACCTCTTCAAAAAGAGGCTAGAAACCCAAATTACACAACCAAAAAGGACCCAAAGCCTCTTGTCTAGCAAAGAAGCTGTCTTTCAGTTAATACTGAACATGTAGGCAAACCAAGGTCATCTTCGCTCTTATTCCACCCGCTACAGAAAAAGCTAAAAAACAGAAGCCCCCCTCCATGCTGCTTTTTGTTGTTGTTGTTTTTTACCTTATTTTCCCTTTCCAACTGGATCTTTTTTCTACTGTCAATCAACAATTATGCATCTGCCAACCACAGGCACCATGCAAGGGACTTTTAACTCTTTCCTAATTCTCAAAACACCGCAAGACAATTTGACAGGTGAGGCAGCTGAGGCCCATAGTTTATATTCTGAGAAATCACACCCACTAAGTGTCTAAGAGGACTGTTTTACTCCAAAGGCTATGCCTCTGTTAGAGCACACTGTCTTAATAATAATAATGACACCAATATCAACAAAACAATAATAATGAGAGGAGGCAGTAGCAGTGGTAGCTTCCCTCCCTACGTTTCCCCCCTTCCCGTTCCTTCAAACTCACTCTGCCCTGCTGAAACCCACTCGAAACATCAGTGGTATAGCATTCCTAAGGGAGGGTTTAACACAGAGGTCTTTTTTTAAATTAACTAGATAATAAATATTAAACGTCCTTAGGCCCCATAACATGAAGAGAAAATCCTGTCCTCTAAGGGGAACAATTTAAATCCCTTCAACATGTATCTGTTAAAATCTTATTACACAAAACAAGAAAGTCTGAGAAACTGTCACAGACAAGAGAAGCCCAAGGAGACATGATGACTAAATGTAATATAATATCCTGGATGGAATCCAGGACAGAAAAATGACATCAGATTTTAAAAAATGAAAGAAATATGAATAAAGTATGGGCCTTAATTAACAATAATATATCAATATCAGTTCATTATGAAAAGTATACCACACTAATGTCAGATAATAACAGGGACAGTAGATATGAGGTATATGGGAATTCTCCGTATTATCTTTGCAACTTATCTGTAATTCTAAATTATTCTAAAGGGCACCTGGGTGGCTCAGTCGTTAAGCATCTGCCTTTGGCTCAGGTCATGATCCTGGAATCGAGGCCCACATCGGGCTCCCTGCTCAGTGGGAAGCCTGCTTCTCCCTCTCCCACTCCCCCTCCTTGTGATCCCTCTCTCTCTGTGTCTCTGTCAAATAAATAAACAAAATCTTTTAAAAAATAAAATAAAAATAAATTATTCTAAAATAAATTTTATTTTTTAAAAATATTTTATTTATTTATTTGACAGACAGAGATCACAAGTAGGCAGAGAGGCAGGCAGAGAGAGAGAGGAGGAAGCAGACTCCCTGCTGAGCAGAGAGCCTGATGCAGGACTTGATCCCAGAACCCTGGGATCATGACCTGAGCCGAAGGCAGAGGCTTTAACCCACTGAGCCACCCAGGTGCCCCCAAAATAAATTTTATTTTTAAAAAAGCTATTATATGCCAACTACTGTGTTGAATATTAAAGGGAATATAAAGACAAAATGTAACAACATAGATAAACTTCGAAAATATTAAACTAAGTGAAAGAAGCCAGTTACAAAGAGCCAAATATTGTATGTTTCCATTTATATGAAATACCCAGAGCAGGCAAATCTAGAGAAAGAAAGTAGATTAGTGGTTGCCTAGAGCTAGAGGGTCTGAGGTGGTAGGGATGACAACTGAGGGATACAGAGTTCCCTTTTGGGGTGATGAAATGTTCTAAAATTGATTATAATGATGGATGTACACTCAGTGTGTATACACACACACACAAACATATATATAAAAATATATATACATATATATTTCTTAACTTGCTCAAACACATGACCCTGAGATCAAGGGTCACGTGCTCTCCCATACTCTACTGACTGAGCTAGCCCAGTGCCTCATACTCTGAATTTATTAAAAGTCACTGAATTGTATACTTTAAATGGATGAATTATGTGGTATGTGAATTGTATCTCAATAAAGCTGTTTAAAAAAAAAATGTAGGGGCGCCTGGGTGGCTCAGTGGTTTAAGCCGCTGCTTTCAGCTCAGGTCATGATCTCAGGGTCCTGGGAGCGAGCCCCACATCAGGCTCTCTGCTCAGCAGGGAGCCTGCTTCTCTCCCTCTCTCTGCCTGCCTCTCTGTCTACTTGTGATCTCTCTCTGTCAAATAAATAAATAAAATCTTAAAAAAAAAAATGTAAGCACAATCCTTGTCCTGCAGGAGTTTGAATGGCTGGAGATACAGGCATACTTCTGTATTAAACAGCTAAGCAATACCACAAGCATTATATGACTTAAGTCAAATAGGTGGTATGAATAACAAGCGCCTCCGGCAAAAAATTCAGGTGGAGATGGCCAGGAAAAATTCTTCTTCTGAGGTGATACAGACCCTGAGAATCTGTTCAAAGTCATGAACGTTCTCCCCAGACAAATACATATAAGCACAAATAAAAGTTTGCACACTACTTAGGGAGATTCACTGAAACTCTTCACATCACCCATATACCACTATGCTAAATTAAGAGCTCCTCAGGGACAAGGATCATGTACTCCTCTCAGGCACACTGCAGACATTCAATCAACGTTTGGTTTTGTAAACAAATAAATGATTAGAAAGCAAATGAATGATACCCATGGCTACCATTTATTAAGCCCCCACATCTATTTTGTTTGGTACTTACCATGTATCTAAACCATAATTCCCTTACAGAATAAGTATTATTATCCCACTTTACAGTTAAGAAATGGAGATTAAATAATTTGCCCAAAGTCAAACAGCCACTACCAAAACTGGCATAGGATCTCAGGATTCTCTGAATCTAAAGTCCATAATTCCCCCTCTTTTCTTTCTTTCTTTTCTTTTTTTTTTAAGATTTTATTTATTTATTTGGCAGACAAAGATAGAAGTAGTCAGAGAGGCAGGTAGAGAGAGAGAACGAAACAGGCTCCCTGCTGAGCAGAGAGCCCGATGCGGGGCTCGATCCTAGGATCCTGGGACCATGACCTGAGCCGAAGGCAGAGGCTTTAACCCACTGAGCCACCCAGGCGCCCCCCTCCCTTTTCTACACCCTCTCTCTCAAATGTTTTAGTGCTTAAGAAATCCAGGCAGGGGGCGCCTGGGTGGCTCAAGTCAGTTAAGAGACTGACACTTGGTTTAAGCTCAGGTCAGAAGATCAAGCCCTGTTCTGGCTCCGCACTTGGCACGGAGTCTGCCTGAGACTCTTTCTTTCCTTTGCCCTCTGCCCGTCCCCCCACCACACACTCGCTTGCTCTCCCTCTCTTCCTCTCTAAAATAAATTATAAACACACACACACACGTGTATGTATATATATATACATATGTGTGTGTATGTGTGTATATATATACACATATATATATTCTGTTCACTCATCTTTTATTCTGTTTGTCATGTTTGTTAAATCTTAGCCCTGGAGAAACGAGACTCCTCTGCTCTAACTCCAGGGAGAGGAAGTACTGGCCAAGGTATAATGGCACTGGCTGGAGCTCCTGACTCCCAGGGCTCCTTGTTGCCTTCGCTGCCTTTCATGCTGGCCAGTTAGGTTAAGCATATTGTACACATAATTAAAAAATCTTTTAGTATCTGATTTAATTGGAGTGTTTAGGATCATCTATGTATTTTGCCCTTCCTTCCATCTATTCATATCCTTTCCAATCACCGTGACCTCACATTCTCTAGGAGATTTCTCCTAAATTTGCTCAAACTGTTCCCTTCCCCTGCCCCGATTTTTTAAAAAGGTTTATTTATTTATCTGAGATACAGGGCAGAGGGAGAGGGTCTGAGCTGAAACCAAGAGTCAGATGCTAAACTAACTCTGCCATCCAGGCACCCCAGAATATATTCTTAAGTGGGTCACTTCATACAGAAGAGGAATTGAATGGGAAGAAAGATCTAGATGACACTGATTTTTTCCCTCACTTTAGTCACTCAGATTTCTGAGTCTCTACAAAAGCAAAGGATTTAATTATCTAAAAGCCAGGCTTAAGGGTTGGCAACTTTCTGAAAGACATTCAAATTGTGGTGTGAACTCTCCCTTTCAGCTCTGGGAAATGTGCTTCCTCTCCCTGCATGCTCGGCATTATTTATCAGAACAAAAGTAATCTATTTTGGGACTATATCCACAAATACCCGCTCCTCCCAGTCAGCAAATGAAGAATGGCTATAGCTCTGCAGCAAATAGGAAGAGGAGGGCGGTGATGCTAGTGAATGAACGAATGAATGGGGACACAGCTGCCGCAATGGGTTACCAAAATTCTGTGCCATGAGCTCAGGAGTCAAGAACAGGGGGACCGCACAGCTACCAAAGACTGAAGTCACTGAGCCAAATCTATACTGTGTGAGTAGCTTCACACACCTGAGCCCCAGGTGAGCAGTGACAGTAGTGAGTCAGGGGACCATGAGGCAAGCAACTGAAAGCTGTTTTACAAGTATTAGCTGAGGGGCTCCTGGGTGGCTCAGCCAGTTAAGCAGCTGCCTTCAGCTCAGGTCATGATCCCAAGGTTCTGAAATCGAGTCCCGCATCTGGCTCCCTGCTCAGCAGAGAGTCTGCTTCTCTCTCTCCCTCTGCCTCTCCCCCATAGCTCATGCTCTGTCTCTCCCTCTCATGCTCTCTCTCTCTCTCTCAAATAAATAAATAAAATCTTTTAAAAAATTAAAAAGAAGAAAAAAGAAAACATTCTTAAAATAGCTATTAAGAGTACATTTGTGTATTAATACTTTTTTTTTTTTTAAGATTTTATTTGAGGGGCGCCTGGATGGCTCAATGGGTTAAAGCCTCTGCCTTCGGCTCAGGTCATGATCTCAGGGTCCTGGGATCAAGCCCCGCATCGGGCTCTCTGCTCATAGGGGAGCCTGCTTCCCTTCCTCTCTCTCTGCCTGCCCCTCTGCCTACTTGTG